AACTGGGTTTGCAAGCTTCTAAGTACTCAAAAACAATTAGTTTTCAATCTCGTTTCTAATATCAACTTTGCGTAAAACACAAGCATCTTGCACCACCATGGAGCTGGTTTTTGTAATGCTTGAGACCAAACATAGTGAAACTTTGTACAGTCAACTGACCCCTGAGAGATCCTGAGAATCCTGTATTGACTGGGGCAAGTGATCCCTGTTGTTGCTAACTATATGTGCATTTAGCGAGAAACTGATTAGTAGGATGTCTGTGACTAGTAACAGTTGGATCTGGTTCAATATCCAAGCCATTCAGAACTGAGTCTTTTCTGCGACAGCAGATAACAGAAAATGTGAAGATAATATGGCTTTTTAAAATTGAAATGAATACTAGATCAAGGGATCTCACTACACGTCAGCAATAGATGGGTAAGACTGGTTCTGTCTGATGAACCTTTCCTTTGGAAGTTTAATACTTTGCTGCATAACTCTGGATATCATGAACAAAAATTTTATTTTGGATCATAAGTATTCACAGTGAGCTAATAAGGAACACATGGGAAAGCACTATCTTGTTGGTAGTAATTTTGAACATTTTTCTAACTTTTCAGAAAGGATCAACTTTGAAATATGAATTTATGTAAATTGAGGGTGTAGTGCATAGGATCAAAATCAGAATTTTTTACGGCACAGGAGGCAGTTATTTGGTCTATTGTGCTGGCACCAGCTCTTCAAATGAGCAACTCTCATAATGCCATTCCTCTACATTGTCCCTGTAATCCTGCACTTTCATCGGATTGAGGATTGATTAATGCACAGAAAACCAAGTTGGGATTAATGGGTCATCTTTAGGTTGGAAAGATCTAACTAGTGGAGTGCTGCAAGTGTCAGTGTGAAGGGGGTCCGAGTGTAAATATAGGGGTGGGGTGGATAACAAGTTTGCAGATGACACTAAGATTGGCCAGGTGGTTAGCAGTGAGGAAGAAGGTGTGAGATTACAAGAGGATATAAACAGGTTGATCAGATGGGCAGATCAGTGGCAGCTGGAGTTTCAACCTTGATAAATGTAAGGTGATGCGCTTGGGAAGAAAGAACAAGACAAGGGTGTACTCAGTGAATGGCAAGAGGAACAGAGGGATCTTCAGTGCTTGTCCACAGATCCCTGAAGATGGATGGACAAGTTAATAGGATAGTTGAGGCATATGGGACGCTTGCCTTTATCAGCTGTGGGTATAGATTTCAAGAGCAGGGCATTATGTTGGAGCTGTACAGAACTTTTGGTTAGGCCACCATTGAGTACTGAGTGCACTTCTGGTCACGACACTCTGAGAAGGATGTGACTGCGCTGGAGGGGGTTTGAAAGAAATTCACTAGGGTATTGCATGGGATGGAGCATTTCAGCTGACAAGACTGGATAAGCTCAAGTCGTTTTCTTTGAAACACAGAAGAATAAGGGGGAAACAAAAACAAAGTTGCTGGAAAAGCTCAGCAGGTCTGGCAGCACCTGTGAAGAAAAACAGTTAACGTTTCGGGTCTGGTGACCCTTACTCAGAGCGCAGGAAATGGGGTGTGAGGATATACAGTCCAGGTAGCTGTGGGAGTCAGTGGTTTGTAGTGGATATTAGTGGCCAGCCTATCCCCGGAAATGGAAGCAGAAATGTTAAGGAAGGGACGGGAGGTGTCAGAGATAGACCACGTGAAAGTGAGGGCAGGATGGAAATTGGAGGCAAAATTCAAGTTTTCCAATTCCAGACGACAGAGGGAAGCAGCACCGATGATATCATTGACGTATCGGAGGAAGAGTTGTGGGTGGGGGCCGGAGGAGGACTGGAACAAGGAATATTCCATGTACCCCATGGAGAGATAGGCATAACTAGGGCCCACGTGGGTACCCATGGCCATCCCTCTGACCTGAAAGAAATGAGGAGAGTTAAGACAAGTTGTTGAAGGTAAGGACAAGCTTGGCCAAGCGAAGGAGGGTGGTGGTGGTTGGGGATCGTTCAGGTCTTTGCTCCAGGAAGAAGCGGAGAGCCCCAAGACCCTCCTGGTGGAGAATGGACACGTAAAGGGATTGCATGTCCATAGTAAAGAGGAGGTAGCTGGAACCAGCAAACTGGACGTTTTGAAACCGGCATAAGGCGTCGGAGGAATCATGGATGTATGTGGGCAGGGATTGGACCGGGAGAGAAGACTAAGTTAAGGTAGGAAGAGATGAGTTGTGTGGGGCAGGAGCAGGCTGAAACAATGGGTCTGCCAGGACAGTCCTGTTTGTGGATTAGTTCTGAGGAAGGGTCACTGGACCCGAAACGTTAACTCTTTTTTCCTTCACAGATGCTGCCAGACCTGCTGAGCTTTTCCAGCAACTTCTGTTTTTGTTCCTGATTCACAGCATCTGCAGTTCTTTTGGTTTTTAGTAAGGATAAGGGAGACGTGACTGAGATGTATAAGTTTGGGTGGTGTGGACAGCGTTGATAGAAATTGCTATTCCCTTTAGTTGAAGGGTCAATAACAAAGGGGCATAATTTTAAGGTGAAACACAGGAGGTTTTGAGGGGATTTAAGGAAAAACCTTTTCATGTAAAGGGTGATGGGAGGTGTGGAATGCACTGCCTGGGAGGGTAATTGAGGAAGGAAACCTCAAACGTCTCTTTTTTTTTTTGGAAAAACTACTTGGATGAACACTAGGGCCATAGGCTTGAATACTATGGCATACCAGTGCTGGAAAGTGGGGTTCATGTTGGTGGTCGTATGTTTTTGGCAATGGGCCTAAGGGTCTCTTTTGTACAGTGATTTCATTATACATCCAGATGTGCTGGCAACACAAAAATAAATGGGTGGGCTTGTTGCGATGAGGATCTAAGGATTCTACAGGGGGATATAGATGGCTTGAGTGAGTGGGCAAACATTGGCAGATGGAATTTCACGTAGGAAAGTGAGATTGTGCTCTTTAGTAGGAAGTCTCAAAAGGCAGACTATTAAATGGAGAGATAGTCCTAAAATATGGTGG